TAATGTTTTGGTGTGATTTATAAATATTATACATGTGTTCCATTTGTTTTGAACATAATACAGATTTGTGTTATAACTCTCCTTACCTTTTAGATGTTTGCTCTTTCTTCTTGTTCTCATCTTCAGCAAGTGGAACAAGCACTGGGACTGCATCTAATTTAGAAGCACAAAGCTTCTAATTTACTTTTTAAGTATTGCTAATTTTTGTCATCCAAAGGTTGTACATGAACAACAAAAAAGACAGGGCATGCAAAAAGTGAACTTCCATAGGCCCTGCTCTGCAAAGACTACATTAATTCATAGCATGCTTAAAATGTGAATGTATGCAACTACAATTTTTGTTTTTTAAATAAAACTCAGGGAAGTTCTATCAAATAGACCATTAAGGAGTTAAAACTTTTGTAACCACAGCAGACCTTTGCCACTGGAAATAAAAACTGGACAGCATTAGCACATTGTAAATTAAGAAATGTGCTTTCAAAACAGAGATGTAGTAACTGCTGTGGCTCTGTCCTTAACCAACGTCAGTTTTGAAGTTCAGGAAAAGTCATGAAGGAGGACAGTGGGAAGAAGGTGGTGTTACTAATGCTCATAAACCTCACTCCTTTACAAAGTAAAGTTAGCTTCAGATTTTAGCCACAAATGCCTAAGCTAATTAAAAGATTATTGAGGGAACTCAAGAAGAGATGAAGCTTCTCGTGAATGTGGAAGGTGCAGTGGTGGTGTTGATTTTCTAGCACTGATGAGCAGTGTGTTTTTTGAGAATAAACTTGAGATAAATTCTGATATTTTCCTGCAGTAGAATAGTGCATTTGTCTAAGAAAAAGAATGTGCTAATACAGTGGAAGACTAAGAGTTACAGGAAAACATTCCTTAGTGCGAGTTGATTGGTTTTTTAGGGTGGGGTTTATGTATTTAGTTTAATAAGGATTTGTAACAGTTGAATTGAAGCTGCTTTAGAAGTAGTGTGGATAGGTTGGTTCACACATATCTGTGGAGAGATAGCTAAGGGCAGGACAAAATGGAAGTTGCAACACTCATCCATGTTGTGTATGAATCTGTTTTTCTGCAGGTATGTAGAAGCTTCTGAAGAAGTGGCAGAGGAGGCAGACAAACCCAAGTTAAAGACTGTTGCTTTGACCTGTGTTCTAAACATTGGTGCTTGCAAACTAAAACTGTCAGATTGGCAGGGAGCCATTGACAGCTGTTCAGAGGTAAATGTAATGTTTAATATATTGGTCAAGAATTGGCCTGTATAGACACAGAACCACAAAGCTTTTTTAAAGTCTTCAGACAAGCTTAAGATTTGAAAGTAAGCAAGTAGAAGCTCATGGTGAAGTTAGTACTAACTTTCCAATATGTGGCTTTTAAAAAAGATTCTGAAATTGAAATGAATCATTAGAAACAAACAAAAGAGGGCTGTTGCTTACTGCCATAAAAAATGCAGATCATTGTCAGTTTGGATTGTAGAGCTACTTCTTACATTACAAAGAGTTAAACTGTTTTCAGTGAAAGAGGAATAATTTTCTCTGGAAGACAAGTATGAGTAAAATGTTTTACTTGCCTCTTGATTTGATGGCCTTGTATTTTATTCATGGCAGAGACTTTAACTAAATAACTAACCTTCCAGGTAGGCTTAATAGTGAAATAAAATGACTAAATAGCAAGAAAGAAACAAGGTATATAAAATGATAAATCTGGAAAAAAAAGAAAACCAGCAGAATTAAAGGGAAAAAAAAAGGAACCATGACATGGGCATAGTGAAAATTTAGTAAATTTGAGGAAACTTTAAATAATTCAGTAAAACTCCAATAATATGAAGGAAACAGAGGAAAGAATGCTCTTATCTGTTAGCAAAGGATCCTGAGCAGCATCTCCTAGGGCCTTGTGCTGAAAGCAGGAGTCTCACCTTATCTGTGAGGTCCTTAGAATGCTGCCTTGCTTTCTAGCTTGCTGATGGTGAAAAACTTTCATAAACCTATATTTAAAACGGACAAATGGGGAATGAGGAAAGAAGAAAATAGGAAAAATATTGTGTAATGTGCTATCTGTCACCTAGAAAATGGTAAAAACTGAAACAAAAGTGTTACAGGTAGAAATTAATATAACTAATAATACTTGCCTTTGTGGGAAGAAAATCGCACTACCTTTTTTTAAGAGTAAACAATTGTTAGATGAAGGCAACTCCATAGCTATAATAGACTTCTGTAAGTCATTTAGCTTATGTCCCATAACTGTGTCAGTGCTTTAATCAGAACATCAGTTTCCTAAAATTAGCTAGTAAAGTTCTAGGTAATTGTTAATGAGAAACTGTACACTTCTATGATTTCACAAGGCCAAAAGCAGTTTAAATTAACAGCCTGGAATACGTGCATTGTTTGGTGTAAATAATGAATTATGAACAGCTGAACCTGTTCAAACAAACCTTGCATTGAAATAGCTGTAAGCACAATGGTCAAGGTAGAACCAAAGAATGCTACTTCTGTGTATACAATCCAGACTAATTCTTAGCACAGAAGAGGCTGAAGGCTTTATAGCAGGCAGATCAATAGGAGCACCCACAGTAACACTTCCTTTGTATTAACAGACAATACCCAAGTGATTGAGAAAATATGGGTGTGTTGTCTGTTAATGACTTAAGGTTAGTAAATTAAATTAATAAAGCAACACATTGCTATGAAGACATTTCCTCTAAACACTGAGAAGCTATATTCTTTAATTTAAAGACACACTATAGAACTAACTGCAGTAAAAATGTGATCTTCACAGGCAAGATAAGGTAACAGCTAGCTGACCAACTTATCCAAGGTATTCTGAAAAAATGATCAAAGTAATCAAATAGTGGAACAATCTTTTTGCCAGCCACTGTATTTCCTATTTTGATATTGTCATATTAGAGCTGGCATATACACGTTATTGAAAACATTCAGCTCAAAAAAGGCATAATGACTGGAACTTGGCAAAGTTCCTGAAGCACGATGAGATGGATTGCTTGCATGTATTTTTCTAGCCCACAGTGAAAAAAATCTTTACAGGAAATCTCTTTATTTATGATGCCATTTGAGGAGGTTTTGGTGCGAAGGAAGGAGCTGCAATAGAGAGATGCCCTGTGAGACTTGAGGTCAGGATAATTTGAACTGCAGCAACTCCTCAGCCCTGACAGCTCTCTATATATACACACACAGCAGCTGTTCCATTTGGGCCTTGTGTGTGCTCATCCTTCACAAAAGACTTTTGCTGCAGCCATACTGAAGCTGATTACTTGCTATTCAGTGTGCTGCATTATAGCATTCCTTTTTACACAGTTAATGTTTTGACAGCTTACCCTCAAACCAACTGTGAAGATTGTCTGCTGGTGTGAATTGTGCCATTTGTGGAGATGGGAGGCTGTGAAGTATAAGAAATGTTAATGTGACAATTTTATTAAATTTACAGGCTCTTAAAATAGATCCAGCAAATACTAAAGCTCTCTACAGACGGGCTCAAGGATGGCAGGGAATAAAAGATCTTGATCAAGCACTGGTAATGATCACTTCTTTTTGTCTTTTTAAATTTAAAGTTCTGTCAGATCATTAATTTATATTTTTCTTTTATTTAAGGCTGATCTTAAAAAGGCTCATGAAATAGCCCCTGAAGATAAAGGTAAAATAAGCTGTTTCTTTAAAAATTCCCTTAAGAATTTAGCAAAATAGCCAGGGTCGTATTCAGTTGGAATTAATACCAGTGTGATGCCTAAAATGCTAGCTTCTTAAACACTGATGTTCTCTAAGCACAGAACCCACTGAGGTGGAAAACCTGATTTTATACAGCAGTGATGCTTCTGTTGCACTGGAAAACCTGCTTATGTAGGTCAGCAGCATTCCTCTTGAACTATGTCTGTATCTCACAGGGCTCTTACTAGCTTAATTTCCTCCTCTAATTGCGTGACATTTTTATCTCCTAAGTTCTGTATTGGCACCCACACCATTCTTGCTGCATGCTCCTCTATGTGGTTGCCTTACTAGTTGACACAAAGCAAGGGACAAGGATTTTGCTGCTAGTATCTGACCTAATCAAAGATTAAATGCAGTTTTATGAAATATAACATAGGTAAGTTCCAGCAGTGACCTGGTGTTAACCTATGAGGAGACCTAATGTAAAGAGATTACTGTAACTCTGTCATTTTCTTTTTGAGCAGCTATCCAGACGGAAACACTCAAAATCAAGCAGAAGATAAAAGCCCAAAAGGAGAAAGAGAAAGCAGCTTATGCTAAAATGTTTGCTTGAATTCTTTTTTCCCTAAACATTTCAATCTATGCACCAATTCATGCAAAAGGATAAATGGAGTTGCTTCTTTCACTTGCCCTCTGCTGCAGTTTTCAGTGTTTACAACACAAAAGTCTAATAATAAAGACAAACTGTTCAAAGTTGATGTGGTTTTCTCTCTTTTAAGCTGTAGTAACTTGTGTTTTGCAACTCAGGTATTTTTCTAATGTATAAAGCAATGGTGGTTTTCACAGCTTAATAGTGCTTCCTGAGCAGCTTGGTTTCACATGAAGAGAATGTAGGCATTTTCACAGTTCCTATTAGAGCAGGCCTGATGTCTAACAGCATTTTTATTCCTTACATAGAATGAAGATGCAGATTTTTTTTTAGAACCACTTTACAAGAGGTATTCCCTGTTATCATCATCAGAAAAAAAAAACAAATCAAAACCCCACCCCAAACTGAAAATTTCATGTAACACTTTAAAGCAGTGACAATTTTCTAGACTGATTTATTTCCCTGACTGCCAGGTATGATTACATGTAAATCACTCCATCTAGAGAGAGAAAATACTTTTTTAAAGGTGGGTACTAAATTATTCCACCGTAATACGCACAGTTCTTTCTGGATATGGCTCCTGCTATCACTGAACTTCAGCAGTAAATCCAAGATCCAAAGCTCCTTTGTCAGTCCTGATAAGAACTTTTGCCTGCCATACAGCTCCTGTAAAGAAGTGCTATTAAATAAGGCTAGGGTTTAACCAGAAGGCACTAACTTTGTATTTAATGCAACAGTCAAATGTAAAATTCAGAATGGCACATTAGTCTCAAACTCTTTTAACATTCAAGTCAGTGCTGTACATTAATTATGCTGCAGCATAAAATACTCCAACATATTTGTTGGTGATCAGAAGTCACTGAATTGATCTGTTAGTTTACATTCCATTATAAGCTGGTCCTCCTCCACCTTCAGGTACTACCCAGTTAATGTTCTGACTTGGGTCTTTAATATCACATGTTTTGCAGTGGACACAGTTCTGAGCATTTATTTGCAGCCTTGATCCTTCTCCTGATTCCAGAGGAACATACTCATAGACTCCTGCAAAGACAAGAAGGGAGCTATCACTTTGCTGAACAGCTTCCCCCTGCATGTATATTCTACTTACCAGCAAGTGTAACAAGGGAAGAATATTATTAATGTGACTTAATTCCCTTTTAACACATTTAACAGTTATTTCATCACATAAGTACTGCTAACATGTTTTAAGACCTTCAACTGATCCCCCTTCTTGGAGGAAAATTGGGATGGAATGCTTGAAGTAAGTAGGAGGTCAGGTGGACCCTTCCTGAAGTACTTAGTCCTTCATCTTGCAGAAACAGCTGACACACACATTTTTGTTACCTACCTGCAGGACAAAACCTTTGCTCCGGTCCATCGAATACAGCCAGATTCCTGCTCACAGGGACGCTGTCATCTTTGAGAGTTAAATGAGGGGGCTGGTCATCTTCATGGTTTGTACCACTTAAAGCCACAGATGACAGGAGATCAAAACTGATTTTTCCATCGGGCTTTGGGTATTCAATAGGGGTGCAGTCTTTGGCTGGCTTGAGCTGAGCATAATCTGGTCCTAAATACATTTTTAATAAATTTCAGTATAGAATTATTGTAATTTGCAGTTACTCAAGGACAATTTAACTAAGCTGTTTTAACTCCCCTTGTCATCAGAATGAAGTACTTCATAAAAGATAGCCTTTTTCACGAGACAAATATCTATACCAAGTTATACTAAGCAATGTTTTAATGTCTTAATTTACATTGTGTGGTAGCTGATATGAGGGTCTGCTTCAATTTTATCATCCATTTCTTTTGTACACTTTAAGGCCTCATGACTGGACCGGATGTGCACTAGCCGAAACAGACCAGAAAAGATTGACATATAAATTTAGAATCTTCTTCAGGAGATAATGAAATTACCTGGATGTTTTAATGTCCATGGTTCCATTCCTCTCAGTATCCAATAAAATATGCCTGTATATATCATTCCTCCATACACACCAAGTACGGTATGGCAGGATGGTCGGATGTTTCTCACTGCATACAGCTCTTTCCACACCCAGGACTTCTTCAGGTTCTCTTCATATTCTTGCACATCAAGTCCTAAGGCAGTACATTACTTGTTAGGTACCTACAGTACATCAAGACTATCCTTGAAATAAAAGAATAAATGCTGAATAAAAGCAACTGCTAGCAATGAAATCAGCAAAATGAGAATTTCAGAACTGTAAGCTAGGAATATACTAGACAACATGTTTCAGCCTCTTGAATCAAGAGATGTGTTCTGTTGGCAGACCTGTACTGCTCCTTTGTAGCCTCTATTAAATTAGCCACAAGCAGCATTAAATTGTCTCAAAACTCAGCAAAATACGATCAGACAGGTGGCTCCATTGGCACCTCTGTGGGAAAGCAGCTACTCACTCACAGAACCTGAGTGCTGACCAGGACAGTCCACCTGTGATCCAAAGCCAGGTTTGCAATTCTAATGTCCAGTTCTAAAGCTTTTTCCAAAGAAGTTTTGCAACCAAAGTCCCATTTCAGTAACTACAGCTATGGCCCAACAGATAATGCCAATACTAGATAATTTCTCCCTTTGTAATTAGCACATTCATGAGATGTATTTGACTGCAAACTTTTGATTTAAACTCTTTGTATTCTTTACAAATACTAGACATTTCACACTTGATACATCTACCACAGTGTAAAGTCAAGTAATTATATTTAAAAATAATCATATTCAAATGATTATTTGAGAGCTTTCTCTTCACCACTCTCCATTACTACTGTATAGGAATAAATGCTCTAAATAATGAGTTTTAAGCCCTGTCTACATACAAAAAGCATGCTTCAGTCCATATGTCCCATAAAGTCCATTATCTCTGCAAAGAGAAGGAAGTGGGCTGTAGCAGTCCAGTCTTGACAAGACTGGAAAACAGCATATAAAACCTGTCCATAATCAAACAGGAGTGGCACACTACCCACCAACAGTGTTTATAGCTTCAGATGGATTCTAAGCATTTTAGCATGTCTAGCTGAAGTTTTAATTGTTCAGCACACCTTCTGTGTATGGTGTGTTTCAGCTGAATGAGAGCTCATTAGGCCTCAATCCACCAGTACAGAGAGAAGATTTCTAAAATAATCATCATGTAGCACCTAGATATAGTCTTAGCTCCAGAGTGACCAAAATTCTAGTTCTCTCACTCTCCCTACAGATTTTATTAACAGATTTAAGGGGACAACTAAGGCTTAAACAAATCACTACAAGGTGGTCAGGACCAAGTGATTACTACAATGTGCTTGTATTATGTATAAAATAAAATACACGTATTCTCAAACTGAGACAACTAAAAGATTAAAAGACAGAAAAAAGGACTGGATGAAAACAGGATCCTAACAACAGTAAGAGCAAATTTGAAAAATCTCATGCTGTTTTGCTTCATCTAATCTATTCCCTTTTTTTTTCTTGTTTCAGCAGGCTTTCAGAAACACTTTCTGAATCATAAAGCACTACTTTTTATTGTGTTTGTAGGAACAAAACTATTCTTGTTTACTTACACAGGAAGCATAAGTTTACTTTTCAGATGGTTATTAGAGCTTCTAGCAGTAGGATCAATACTTATGAATAACAGCAAATATTAATTTCTTTAATAAATAATTTGACATTATCAATAGTAAATAAACAAAATATATTTTAAACACACCCATTTCATGACTTATTCACATTTCCAACTAATTCGTTCAGCCTGATTAATTACTGCTGTTAGTTGGTGGTGGTTCTAATTGAACACAAGGTAATTACAAATCAAAGTAAAATGATCTTACCTATTGTCTTTGATTGGAGATTTTCATTGGTTAATCGACTAAAAATGGCTTCTGAAGCCAACATGCCACTTTTCATTGCAGTATGTGTTCCTTTGATCTTGGGAACATTCAAGAGTCCAGGACTGCAACCAATTAATAATCCACCTGGGAAGGTGAGTTTGGGTATTGACTGAAAGGAAAACAGAACGAAAGGTTTTGTTCTTGTTTGGTTTTGTTTGTTGAAGTGAAAATAACATTCTGAAATTAAACTGGCATAAGGCGTGAGTGTCCTTTCCATTTTCAGACTTGGCACATGTACTCTCTAAACATACACCAGTTATTCCACTTACTCGTGGAATTTGAGCATAGTATGCACATTGGAATACAGACACTTTACTTGTGCTGAATATGAAAGTGATATTTTCCTTATATCCTCTCCACAGCTGCCTTATCTGCAGCAAAACTCCAGTAGTGTCACCCACCGATAGGTGTTCCTCCTTCAAGCTCAAGTAAATTTTTTAAAATTAAAAACCCAAACTCCCATCTGCTTCCCTGATTTCCACACAGTGAGTTGTACTCATCTCACCTCACAGGGCTTTATTCCACAAATCTTTTTCTGTGAAACTGCACAATGCTATCATGCCTGCCCCCCATCTCCTTATTTTAGAAGTTGCTCACAGCCAGCAAATATATTTTGGTGGAAAATCACCATCTTACTCCCATTCTGTGAGCATAATGTCATAGAGTATGGTGAACTCACAAACCTAACACAGCCAAGATGATTTGGTCAGGTCAATAGTATTAATATACTACGTTATACACCTATATTGACTAAGGAATACCTCAGCTATCAAGGTGATTAAGATTTTACACTGGAAACAGCTTCGAAGTGCAGACTGACTGCAGAACTTTGAGCAGAAAGCTCTGATCAAAGCCTAAGTCACAAATTGCTGAAGTTTTGAACATACCCTTCTTCCTAAAGTCTTTAGTGCTGAGCAGCACATCTTAATCTAGCATCCTGCTTTTATTAAAACTGTCTGAAAGAATTAATTTTGCAGTAACCTAAATACTAAACAAGTAGTTGAATTTCATGAAAAATGTCAAAAAAATGTATCCCTTGGAATTTAGGGTAACCCAAATCAAAAGTTTTGTTTCTTCTGCTTGTTCAATTGTTACCTCTTTACTAGTCATCCAGGACTGCTTACTTTTGTATAGTCATATAGCAATCACTAAAAAGTTATATTACACAGCATTTCCTCTGTGTTTTGTGCAATTTGTTTAATCAGAGACCTAGTGATTTGGTTCACAGAAAAGGTAATTCAGGCTGAAAACACAACTACAACTTACTTTTCTGGGAAAAGAAGTTTCAAGTTCAACTACATAACACTATTTCAAAGAGATTAAGTATGTGGGATGTTCTCTCTCTTTTCTCAGAAAACAGCCATCCTATGTTATCTATTAGGATTCAATGGTGCAGCACTGACAAAAGCATAGAAAGACTTCTTGACTGACTCTGAATTGCATAGGAAGATGGTGATCAAGTACTTTTCTTCTGCAAACACTGTTTCATGTAATATGCACAGTGACCCACCATACTGCTAAAGAATAAATGAGATTAAGGATGAGTCATGTAACACAAAAGGTAGCACATACTGCAGCTTTGGTAGTAATTCTCATTATTAGTACTATGGCACTTGGTGCCTGCTTTCATAGTCAGTGGAAGAAACACATCATGCCTCTGAGATACAGAAACAAAACATGACTGTTTTAGAGAAGGGGAGACACCTGCTCCCTGCAGAGTCTTTCCTGCTGGCAGACAGGAAACCTCATGTTCTTCCTCCCCTTAGCTCCAGACCAGGGCTTAAAATCTGTTAAGTGAGTCTAATGTGTGACACTTAAATGAGTTGTCAGGTTTTCCCCCCCCAATATTCATAGCATACACTGCTCAATAACTGCAACACCTTTTTCTCCACAAAACTCTTAAACCTTTCAAAAGCTTTTGATAAAATAGAGACAAAATAGAGAGTGCATGGGAATTTAGGTGCTTTGTTTTGCAGTTTTAATAAATATTATAAATAGTAGCTACAGAGATTAAGTTACTAAACTCTCATCCTTCCTTCCACAGACATTAAAAAACACATGCACTCTCTCTCCTCCTTCACTCTGTGCTAAAGATTGAAGATCATGGTCATTAGGTTATCTATAACAAAAAAGCTGAAGTTGGTGGTAACTCTATACACCTATTTGATGCAATTCTGTTACCAAAATCAAAAACTGGAGCTATGGAATGACTTACATAAGAAAATATTCCTGGACTACAGTGATACAAATGAGTCACACTGCTACAGTTATTAATCAAAGCAACACATGCAAAAGAAGAGCTAATCTTAAAACTCTTCCTAAGTGAATCATCAATAAAGCTTTTTTTTACTGAAGCCATGTATTAAAAAAAGTCTTTTAGAAGAGTGACTTCATAATCACCTAATCAAATCTATCTACAGGAAATTAAAAAAACCCACCAAAAAGCCAATGAAGCAAAACATGCTTTTATATTAGGAACAATGGAAAGTAAGGGACATATTGGTTTAAATCCAACAAAGATGTTCAAAGATGAGGCAGAGATGTGCAAGATATGTAGTTCTACTATGTAACTTAGCACAATGTCTGTAAGTGACTTAAAAATACTGTATTTTTTCAGCTATAGGTTTTGAGTATAAGGAGGGTGCAACTAAAGTCACACTCTGGCTACTTCACCAAAGCCAGAAATTCAATGACTATGTGTGATAGAGAAACCAGGGCACAGGGTGGAAAAAGAAGCCCCTCTTGCATAAAAGTCTAGATTAGAACATCTTGGTATTTTCCAGGGTGTCTGTGCTAATAGTGGAGTGGCAATGGTTTTTGAAATAAGCCAGTAACACAGCTGTGTTACAATGTGATATGACATATTTCCACTGCAGAGTGGACAAAATCAACGCTCAGATTGATTAAATGTGCAGCATGGGTGTAATCAAGAAGCTGCTTCCTGAACTCACATGACTCACTGCCAGGAATGCACACTGGGGTCAAAGCCTAACTCCACATGACTGTGACAAGAGTAAAGCTGTGATGAAATTCTGCTTGTATTGCAAGAACCTCGTGAAGCCACGTTTATACCGAGAAGAGGTTCAAAAAGGAAAGGCAAAGTAGTCAGAGGGCAGAGTGGCATGGCCCCACATACAGGCTGCAGATCATGGACACTCAGGCTAGTTTTAAGGTCCAAACTGAAAGGAGCATCTGGAAGATGGATCTGGGTGTACAGAACATACTGCCACACCCTGTGTTTCAAGATGAGAAGCTAACAGGTTGAATGTACTTTAAAACTGTTAAATATAAACTCCAGACCATTTTTTTGCAGGCTTTTCCAGCCCTTTCAACTGACCTTAGTCAGAAAGGTCAGTATTTAAAGGGAAATGTATCAATTACAAAGTCTTGAATAATACATATTCAAAATTTCACCTTTTGCACTACTTAAGTTAACAAAATGAACAAAGTATTCCACCTACCAAGAAAGCAGAAATTCAAAGTTGAGCATAAAAGAAACTCAAGGTATTTGTACTTGAAGAGGTAAAGATTTACCTGCCAAACTACATTACAGTTTCAGCATCAATAGTGACTTAAGGTTAAGCACTGAAAAGGAGTTCTTTTTGCTGGGATAAATAAGTAATTTGGAAGACCCCAAAAGAACAGATCAGTGGTACTACCCTGTCTTCCCCAAGATTCCAGGCAAAACAAAAGATATATGGCATCTTTGCTGCTGAACATTCTTGACTGCAATATAAATTCCACTTCACTGGCTGCTCATAGCTTGGACAAACACTCTGCTGGGTAAAATCTCTGGATGTCTGGGCTCAGAGAATGTTGGTGAGTGGAGTTACATCCAGTTGGCAGCCAGCCACTGGCAGGATTCTGCAGGGCTCAGTACTGGGGCCAGACCTGGCTAATATCTTTATCAATGACCTGGACAAGGGGATTGAGTGAACCCTCAGTCAGTCTGCAGGCAGCACAATGATGGGTGGGAATGTTGCTCTGCTGCAGAGGGATCTGGACAGGATGGTTCTGTGGACCAAGGCTGATTATACTGACATCCAGTAAGGCAAAGTGCTGTGTCCTGTCCTTGGGTTACAACAGCTCCATGCAGTGCCTTAGGCCAAGGGCAGAGTGACTGGAAAACTGCCCAGCAAAAAGGACATGGGGAATCCTGCCAGCTGAACATGAGCCAGCATGTGCCCAGGTGGCCAAGAAGGCCAATGGCATCCTAGCTTGGATCACAAATAGTGTGGCCAGCAGGACCAGGGCAGTGGTTATTTCCCTGTAGTCAGCACTGGTGATGTTGTATCTTGAATCCTTTGCCCAGTTTAGGGCCCCTCACAAGACATAGAAATGCTGGAGTGTGTCTAGGGAAGGGCAATGGAGTTTATGAAGAGCCTAGAGCTCAGGTCTTATGAGAAGTAGCTGAGGGAGCTGGGGGTGTTTAACCTGGAGAAAAGGAGGCTCAGGGGAGACCTTACTGCTCTCTACAACCACCTGAAAGGAGGGTGCACACTGAGGTGAGGGTCAATCTCTTCTCACAAGTGGCAGGAAGAGAGGAAAGGGGCTCAAGTTGTGCCAGAGGAGGTTTAGATTGGATATTAGGAAAAATATCTTCACAGGAAGGGTTGTCAAGCACTTGCACAAGCTGCCCAGTGAAGTGGTTGAGTTGCCATGCCTGGATAAGATATATAGATGTAGCACTTGGGGATATTGTTTAGTGGTGGACTTGGCAGTGGTGGACTAGTTATTGGACTAAATGTTGTAAATGGTCTTTTCCAATCTAAATGTTTCTATGATTCTGTATTTCATTTAGAAAGTAAAGTGAGTATGTCAGAAGATTTTCAGTATGACAGAGCCTAAGACTAGCTAATCTCAGCAGCCAGCACCCAGCAAGACAAAAAGCTTTTTCTGTCCAGCAAAACATTTGGTATAGCATGCAAACCAAATCTACAGCAGTAAATTTATGGCTATAGAAAATTCAAAGATTAAAGCTTTGTGAAAACAAATTACCTGGATACCACCTTCATTTAACGCTCTGGCACCATAAGCAATCCTTGTTCCACCTTCCAAAGTAGGCTGTACACTAGGATGATGCTTCCACCTCTGAAATTCTCTAAATGGATTCAAATAGGGATTTTGATAATCTAAACCAACCTTAAAAAAAGAAAAAAGTGCACATCAATAAAAACAAGGTATGAAATTTCAACAAAAATTTGAAATCAAAGCAATTGCATATTACCACATCCAGTCTTTAAATCTATTTTATTCTAAAGCAACCTCAGGAGCATTCTACTTAATCTACTGCCAAAAATATATTTTATTAATGGTACAGCAGGAGCAAATCTAAAAATTTGCTGCTACAAGTCTGCTCTTGTCCCCACCTGAAATATGGAAAATATTTAATTGCATTGTAACCTCCCTTCAGCTGTCTTTGGTACAAAAAGAATTAAATTAAGCATGATTTAATGGGTGGGATAAGCAGCAAAACTTGTTTTAAATTTGCATTTCATACCTCTGCCCAAAAAAAGCTGAAAAAAGAGGTAAACAATTATCTTTTGATTGTTATGTCCTTGAGCTCTCATACTTTAAACAGTTCTTCAAATTGTTTAGTACTCAATTATAATTTCCAATTAGGTGAACCATTGTAATAAAGCAAAGGGGAGCAATGATGAAAGCAGAAAATGGGGTAAAATTGATTGCCAGTGGGGTGGAGGATCAGGATACTTATACATTTGAGAATTTGACCAATATATACTCTGCATTTCCCATCTTTAAGATATTCTTAAAAAGAATTCTCTTGCTGAATTTTTCTCTTTTGAGAAAGGGATTATTTCTGGTTCCTGTGAGCTTTATTGGAGATAAGTAACAAAATACATCATGAGTCAGCAGCAAGTGCTTGCATCTGCGTTGCTGACAAGACAAAATTAATGAACAAGTTCCAAAATTAGGGTAAAATAACCCTACTACAAGAATCATCTCAGACTGAAATAGGTATAAAGTTCAAAGACAAAAAAGTGATTGTGTGTTCACACAGAAGTTGATTTTTTCCTCTCTGGAGAGAATATGAATGTTACTGATTACCTACCATTCTCTGCAAGAATCAGAGCTCTCAGCCCTTCTAAAATCAAACAGAAATTGAGTATCTACTGTATGTACTTATTAATTCCAATATTGAAAATCTGTACAGGACAAGTATGTGTGTCTGAGAAAACGAATGAATTTTTTTCAATGCTTCTTACAAAACAGTTAGACAAAAATAGAATTTTTCCACACAGTCTGTAATCGTTTTGAAATCTAGGAGACAGAAGTGTCAGCTCAGTCCCATGCTGCTGAAAGTCCAATTTGTATGCTTGGGTCTTACAACATCTGTGTTGAAGCACGTGCACAGGGTAAATAGTGAATTTTTCATTTTGAACTGTAGGTGATAGAATTTCCAATCCCTGCTCCGTGCATCACCTGGCTGCCAGAATGACACCAGACTACCTCTAGAGATCTCACACTTCTGATAAGTGGCAATAAGCAGGAAGAAGCTGACTGCCCAATTCAGAAAGGCAGTTGCTAAAGAGGGCAATGCCAACAGGGGTCGAGAATACCAAAACCAAAGTGAAGAGCTCAGAAATGAAAGGGACATTGCTAGTACATTGCAGTGCTTCCATTTTAGACACTTCTCTCAAAAAGTGGAGTTACATACAGGTTTGACACATGGATTAGGAAATGGAACTGTAAAAAGTGCATGTGATTTAGATTTCCTAACTTACAAGAATTTTTTGAGCATAGTTTTGATTAGTCATTTGGTTTTGCCATTACCAAAATTTGCTTTGTTTGCAAAGAAATTATGAGTAAGTTTTCTAGCTGGTCTCAATAAAAGACATTGGATTAAAGACAGATTAATATGACAAATTAGCCTTCCCTAGTATGGGTATAACCACACTTCAGATAAAGAAAGGACTAAATTTGGTCTGCTCCTATTCTTGTATTTACATTTTCTTAATTAAACAGAGAAAAGAAACTGCATAAAATGAAGATCAAACAACATGTAAGAATGACAAAACTAACTTCACTTACCACAAATCCAAGAGCAACTAAAGGCTCAGGCTCATTTAAGTGATAAAGAAAGGATCCTCCATACGTATGTCTGTCTAATGGCCAGCCTACAGTATGTTCCACTCTTCCTGGTTTCCATTTTGTTTTATCAATAGTCCATAACTGAAATGAGGATGACCAAAAAATTACTTCAGATTGCAAAGTAATGGCCTTGCAATAATATATTAAGAGACAAACACACAATTACATATAGGAGAAACTTAATTTACTCCTATGAGCAATGCAAAAATTCATACAGCAAAATACCAACTGTTCAGTATAGTTTTTTGGATTACTATTTAAGGTTTTCCCAATACCTCTCTTAAAATGCTGTGTATCAGACAATGTGACTGAGACTCCAGTACTACACCCGAAATTTTCATTCCAAGATTCCTAATACTAGTGACTTTGACAGATACTTCTGCCACAGAATGCAATGCTTATGTTGACTTTTTTCTTTGAAAGTATTACTTTTTCATATGATTCTATGAATTATCTTCTCAGTTTTTCAAGGTCAGGACAAAGCAATATGCCTGAGTTGATCTAAATATTTTCTGTCAAACAAATTGTCCAGTCTCTGCTGTCTTCTACACATTTTCAGTGCTCCACTGACCCATGGTGAACTCAGAGAAGCATTTTCATGTTTTCAAGATTGAGTCAATTTTCTGCTCATTTCACAAAACATCTTTGCACCATGGAGGTACATGCCAGGCACAGTCTAATGACAGGAGGGCAGTTGAGCACCATAGATCAGCTCAAGCATTGAGAGCACACCTACAGTAATGCTCCAGTTTAGATTAAAGAGCACGTTTTTGAGTGGGACTTCTGATTCCTCCCACTTACTGTGTTTTGACTCACATCATACAGCAGCCAAGGCATGAACTGGATTCATTCAATGTGAAACTCAAAGACAGGGTCCTAAAAGTCCATCTAAAACATTCCAGTCATGAAAGGGCACTCAGTCCATAGGACCAGATGACAGCTAGTCCAAAGTAAAAATAAACCTGAGGCGTGCATAGTATGGACAACAGCTCCTCAGCACCAACTACTTCAGACCCACTGCTACTGGACTGCACTATTTGCTAAAGCAGACAGTCTCAACTGGAAGTAAGGGAACTCTACAGGAAAACCCTTCTTTAATGACAATTTCAGTATTAGAGACTGTAACTAAGATTATGTCATATTTACAGAATGGTTATTCTCTACAGAGTGTAAACTAATCATTTAACTAGTACCTGCTTACAGCTACAAAATATTTAAGTAATTCTGTTACAGTCAAAACTCTGAACATATTCTAAAATAATACAGCTCTTTTTCATGAGTGATATTTCCTGAGTATAGAATATTTTAAAAAGGAAACCTCATTCCTATCCCAATTTTATATGCCCAATGAAGGGAGTTTTTTTTTAAAGAAAGGCTCATCCAGAAGGTGCTTCAGAGACCACAACTCATCATCTGAAACAGCTCTCCTCTCTCCCTTTTTACTAACATACAGAAAAGCCCACAGCAAGTATTTTCTTCCTTCCTCATGTACTAAAGCCCCCCCAAAAGTAGGCAGCACAAATTCCTTCCTTGTTTAGCAGATACACAGAAAACAGATATCACAAATGACTGTAGTTTGAAAATGTTAACAAAGCAGATTCACAGGTACCTCTAGTTATAACAGATACAAGAGAAGCAGCAGCTGAAGTAGAACAGTCACAACATTCAGAGAGCATCTGCTCTGATCAGCCTCAGAACAGCAAAGATTCTGAATTTTCAAAGTGCAACTCAAATTCTTTAATTCTTACATCTTACAAAAATTAGCTAGAAAGCAAACAGAATCTACTTTTAAGTCTTATGCTATTTTCTCTAATTGTTAAAATGATGCAAGTGGTACCTCTTTCAATCCAATGCCATAGCTCTGGGGTTGACAATTCTCCCTTAGATTGTATCTTTTGTACAGCTGTTTGGCTAGATGTCCATGACAACCTTCAGCAAAGACTGTGACTTTAGCATGGAGTTCCAAGCCTCTTTCAAAGGTAGCCTGCAAAAGCACAGCATTTCATCAGCAATTAGGTCTGTGCCACACCAAACTCACAGCAAGAAAATGCAGAGTAATAAAGTGATTTTACACTACTTGGTGACACAGCTCAGACACTACAGACCATTGCAAATTATGGCTCTAGTTCAGTTGTCTTTTCCACCCAACCATGACGCACCCCTGGCAAGTCTTGGAAGGGGATTCCAGTAGAGCAGCCCCACAGTGAACCGCTATTCATCACTGAAAAAGAGAATCTTTCCAGGTCAGAGAATACTTATATCAGATCTGCTCCTTCACAAGGTGCAAAGGAACTCTGACAAAGAATCTTTACCTGTAACATCACACTTCAATTTTTGCTCATGAAGTCACATTACATTGTAATGTTTTGTGCCCCAACACAAATGTCATAGACTAGACAGAACTACCATATCTGAAAAACCTGAACCTGCTCCGAAAAGGACCCATCACATGACATTACCCCAGTCTGGCACATTAAAACACACAATAAAATTAAACTAAATAAAATACAACTATAAAAAAATTCTAATTAAAAATTCCAACAAGGATTGAGAACCAGGTAAGGGGAATTGGCATACTGCTGTATGAGTACATCACCTGCATCTGTGAGCACACTGGACAAGGATATAGATTATGTTTACAAATTTTTCATAATGCAAAAACCTCGCTTTCAGTCAGAAAGTTTATAGTTGAAAAAGACAAGGAAAACAGTTTTGGACTGACCTCATCAACAGTATTCAATTAAACCATCTCAAGGTAAGCCAGCATAAGTTTAAAAGAAGTTTACTGCTTTGGTTTTTAATTGTCTCTCAGGTGCAATCTGCTTGTAACTTACAAATGAAAATGTTCCCTCTAGTTGAGAATTACATTTAAAGAGGAGTCACAGGATTTTGTGAAATTCTTGTACTCTTTGAATTTCTGATTGTCAATGTGAACTTGAATTAATTTTACAAAATTCTAAACAAAAGTTACCTCTTGAATATATAGTGTCCACTTTGAAGTAGCTTTATTTAAAAGAAACAAACTACAACTCCACATTGTAAATAATAGAAATTCATTAATTTGAAACATTTCAGTAATGTGACACAGCTGTATTTCACATTTAACAATCTTCTCCAGTATCTACACAAGAATTAATATGCAACTTGCTACAACGTTTTTTTACCACTGTCATTTTTATTTGGTTGGTGCTGACTGCAAGGTGAATATCTATTCATTAACCACAGTCTATTTGATTAGGCTCTGTATAAACATGTTGAAGATACTCTTGCCTTGGAGGTTATACAAACTACACCTATTTACCTGAGCCTTTATGCACTGGAGGTAGTACCAACTGACAAAACTGACAGCTAAAAAACTTGAATTGAGTGACAGTGCAGTAAAAAAAGCTGCAGTAGAGGCACACTCATTATGTACATGAAAGAAGTTAAGAGATGCATTCTCCCAGAACAAACAGAGAAAAAAAATGAATCTATCTTTGTTTTGAGGATGTTAAGAAATACATCTAAAATGTTCCTTCCCATCTTAAAACAAACCCAAACTCCCAATGAAGCTGCACACGTTACTTGTGCCATCTTCTGGACAAAGCATGCACTGGAAAATGAGAGCTGTCTGTGTGTCTGTCCCCTACAGCACATAAAAAAAAATTACACTGGAAAAATACATTACTCCTCCACTGGCTTTATTCTCTCAAAACAAGAAAGAGTCTTTTCTTCTCACTCCCTGCCTTAAATGGGGAAAAATAGCCCACACTTTATGTGCAAGTCAATACCTCTTTGAAACCCTAGGAAACCAGAATATAAAACTTTATAAAAAAGGAAAGTAAATGTCAAGGAGAAACTTGTACTCCTAATTTATGTAGTCAAATAATTCTGTGTGAAAGTCGCTCCAAGTAAATCTGAGGTGCCACATTTTCCCAACATATTTTACAGGGAAACAGCAGACTTAGGGCAGGTTCTGGATTCCACTGAACAAAACAAAAATCCAAGTCTGACACCTAGGGCAGATTACTGCATCCTTTTAGATGCAGAAACATGAACAACCAGCATAGAGGCATAAAGGCTCAGTGTGTCTCTTGTCCCAACAAGGTAGACAGACTGTTAGCAAGTGCAACTGTGCCTGTAAATATCAAGGAAACCAAACCAGCCAGAAGTTCACTCTCTTACATGATGCTGGTTACCAGATGGACTAAAACTTTCTATTTCACCTTTGGACTTTTTTTCCAGGAGTTCCTCAAGTTCTTTCTGTTGTTTCCAGATTTCACATATGCCAAAACACCCTTACATAATCTTCTTCAAGACAACTTTTATGAAAAGGCTTTTTCTACTAATCTCAGAAGAATTTTACAATGTTCTGAGACGAGAACACGGGCAATCAATCAAATTTAATAGAGAGGGAAGACAGGTACTGAATTTTACACCTTTTCTTATGCTGCAGCAAGACTACTGATGGCAGTAGAAGCAGATGTACCACAATTTTCATAATTAGACCCCTAGTTATGGGGAAGATAGATACTCACTTTAGGTGCTCCATCCTTCTGAATGCCTACATCATTAGTTGCTATCCCCTTCACGCTACCATCTTCATGAAAAAGTACCTTTGGAAATATTTAAACAAACAAACAAAAAACATTGTAATGAAACTGTACTTTGAATCTATTAATTAAAAGTTCTAAAGCAGAACTTCTAAACACTATGACTTAAATGGTCAAACATGAAGATTATGTATTTATTGATGTATTGTGTGCACTTTGCTGGATCTGAGCCAGGGAATTGAGACAGAGAAACACAGTTTTCACAATACATATCAGTTAAAAGGAATGTTGCACATGTACAAATGATCATGACTGCACTGAAGGGGGTTCCAAAGCCACTCTTCACAAACACACACGATGTCATTAGTACCTCAGCTGCTGCATAGCCTGGATATATCTCAACACCCAAAGCTTCTGCTTGTTCACCTAGCCAACTCACAAGGTGGCCCAGACGTACTATGTAATTTCCATGATTAACCATCGGGAGCCCTAGGCAAAAAAAGACACACACACATATAACACATGGGACACTAAGCAAAATAACCAAAGCTGTCACCTCTACAGCTACTACCTTTAAGCTAGTCTCATGTGTTATCAGAGCCATCACCTACACAGAGTGTATCACTGTAACCTATTATAGTCTACATACACTTGCTGCACTACACCAAATCAAACTTCTTTTGATTCATGGAGAAGTTCAAAAAGACACAGAGGAAGCTGACTCTCTTTTCCCTCACTAAACTTTACCTGGAAGGATTGGCACTGGAATTCTAGATGTCTCTGTTAAAATTCCAAACTTGTCTTCAGTTACAGGCGTATTAAGTGGAGCCTATAAAAAATAAAATAGAAGAAGTAGAGAGTTATGTTTTCTCAGCCAATCCAACAGAAACAACAGAAACAACAAAATCAAACAATCAAACTGGCAGTCAAGTACAGGTTTAGTATAGCACTTCTTTAGGAAGGCATCACAAGAGAGAAGATAAAGTACTTTATGAGGCAGTCATCAGGCAAGAATCAACACAACTACTGAGGTTAAAAAAAAAAGGCTTTGCAAATAACATCTATAGTACACAGGCCTGTACTACATCAATATTCTAGACCTTTTTAAAGAAGGCAGCTCAACCTGCAGATTTATCACCATAAGGCAAACTAAAGAGTTGACAGCTGACTTCTTGCAGCTCTCAGGTGATAGCAGGCAGCTGACTGCAAGTCAGACAGCTGTTCTGGGACCTCTCTCCTAAAATCATCTTTGGCCTTTGCTACACCAGGGTGTCTGCAAAGAAGTCAGTATCAGTCATCTCCAGGAAGAGCTATTGTACAGATCCAGCACGTCTGTCATTGGTAAGGACCAAACATCTTCCTGCTTTTACACAGGAGCTGGACTTTGCACAAAGGCAGAAAGTGCAGGGCACCCCAGGCTGCACCAGACATATTGTGTATGTGCAGTAGGACTACTGCAGAAAAGAGCAAGGGCCACAGCATAACTGTGTAGACAGAAAACTTTTAGCATTGTTGAGCTACAGGAAACAGACTATAAAGAAGGTGCCCATTTTTGTTTTGTTCCATCAATGTATTTTAAAATGGTACTTATTACCAATGGTACCAGGTACTAACTCATACCAGAATGAGTCAGATATGAAATTCATTACAATCTAGCACTGAACTTTGGTGTTTACATGCTCATACATACCCCTCGCTCTTTCCAGTCTGGAAAGAGTTCTTCTAAGGCCCTTGGCTCGACACAAGCACCAGACAACGTGTGTGCACCAATCTGAGAAGCCTTTTCCACCAGACACACACGCACTTCTTTGCTGTGCTCAGCAGCCAACTGCTTGAGTCGAATGGCTGCAGAAAGGCCTGCAGGGCCTGCTCCAACAACCACAACATCAGCTTCCTCTGCAAATCTTTCCATGTTTACCCCTTCAATAGAAAAAATGATAATAACATAAGCCAATCTCCAATTTCTTCCAACCTCTCTCTCACTAAAACCAAACCCTCATGGTAAGAACAACTTAAAAAAATCAAGCAGATACATACTGAACAGAACTAAATCTTGTCGTGATAATCGCTAAACCAAAAGCTGCTTGTATATTTTCTTTATTCAAACAAGCATAAAGTTTCTTCTGATATTATAATATAGCACTAAAGACACTCATTATGAGATAGCAAGCAAAAATTTCATTTGAAATATTAGTACTGTATTTAAGCACAGAGAATTTCCATAATGAGAAAAAACCAGCAACACATTTTAATGTCTTTAAAACTCGGCAATGACAATTGTAATAATAATGACAATAATAATAAAGCAGCTTTCAAAGAAGGCAGTGTTTTTACCTTCCCATCGTTTGTCTTTGTCCCGAGGATGAATTGTGTAGTGTGTGGTTATGCGAGGCACAGCGGCAGTGGAGGCACATCGTGAGACACGCAGCGATTGAAGGCAATCCTTCTTTACCAACTTCAGAGCATGAAAGCACTGACGCGCTGCAAAAACCAGAAACAACTTTAGCAAATCAGTAGCTTTTCAAATTTTTCAAAGTTTCAGAGATGCAAGAAGTACAACAAATATGACAGCTTCCCCCTCCCAAAGGCTACCAGGTGATGTGAAGATGAGGAACCATAAACACAGATTTTAAAATTTTCAAGTAAGGAGGATGCTGTGTAATTTTTTATTAGCAGCTTCCCCTTTAAGCATTCTTTACTCAGTACACAGGCCAGCCATGCATAGCTGACATAGGATAATATACACAGGTGCCAAACACACTTTAAGTTCTGATTTAATTTTGAACTTCAAAAGGTTTATTTCAAACTGCATTAAAAGTGACCAAACAATGGTAGAAACGGGACATGCAAGTTTAGCTCTGACATCTCAACACCTGTTGAGACACACAGCTTGAGGCTACTAACACAGGGCAGTTCACCTAAAGTACATGCCATGGTCTGCAGTAAAAGCACAGACCTGAACCCAAGTGTGCTTAGCCAAAGCTAGGAACAGTAGATACAGGTAACCATTACCTTTGCTGCAGATACAGTAATTGTTGTGAAAACAAATTAGAATTTCTGTGTAAGCAAATGGATGGAAAATAAAGTTTCAAATTATCAAACCTACCAGGACTCTTTTCAGAGGGCTATTACATGTCATATTTTCCCTCTTTTAGAAACAAGTAATCAACGTGTGTGATTTGTATTAAAAAAAACTAGTATCATTAGTCTGAAAATGAGTTAGTTAAAAGGTCTGTGAACTAATGTGCCTTCCTTAATAATATTCCTTCCTTAAAGAATTTGCTTTATTCAGGGATGAAGAATACCATCCTTAAAGTGGAGTATTTCTGCAAAATTATATAAGTAAAATCACCGGTGTGCTTCGACTGAAATGTTTAGTTGAGAATGGCAATTGGCAAGGCCAGCACAAGCATCCCGTGTCACAACCCTGCCCGGTGACAATTAGGACAGAGATCTCTACATGCAAGGTAGAAAGCATTATCCATGTTGGTTCCTTAACAAGAATTCTGTACCTAAGCAACATAACATAAAAGGTGGTATTATCATATCACCTCATGATTCTTAGATATCCTTTACCTGCAACCAGGCAGGATCTGAGAACAAGTACTCTATAAGGCTGATAATAACTACACATATATATATATATATATATATATATATATATATATATATATATATATAAAATGAAACTTTAACTTAACTTTCAGGATCTTTTTTATTTGACCATAAGTGATGGGACTAAGAATCACACAGCATATTAAAAAAAACAAACAAAACAAACCAATTCATTTGCACATATGCAAAAGAAGTGAAACTCTGCTCCGAACACCTCTGATAATAGAGGGCAGATTCTTGCCCAGCGAGCGCACAGTGCCTGGGCCACGACTATTGAGAGCTCAGGGACTCGGAAAGCGATGGGAAACGCCTGCACGACCCAGGCAATCCCCAAGGAGAAACTTTGCGGCAGCTCTTCAGTCACAGCTGTCGGGATGCTGTCTCCACAACTACTTCCCAAGTAAGGACACTCGTTCTGCTGCTTTATTTCACCCTTTAAAGCAGATGACACCTAGCGTCCCGCCCATGTTTTTAGGCACCCCGCTGCAGGTGAATAACCCACGTCAATATCACCGAGCCGGGCCGCGGGCAGCGCTCACGCACAGCGCTGTCCTCCGGCCCTCGGGCACACAGAGGCCTCGGGCAGGGGGAGCCCCGGGCAAGGGGAGCCCCGGGCAAGGGGAGCCCCGGGCAAGGGGAGCCCCGGGGTCCCGCCCGCCGGCCCTGCTCCGGCCCCGCGCCCGGCCGGACACCGGCGCGACCCAGCCGCGACCTTTGCTCCTCCTCGGCGCCGCGCCAGCCGCCGGCCCCACCCGCCGCGCCGAGCGGCCGCCCCAGCCCAGCCCGCCCCAGCCCGGGCCGAGGCCCCGGGCCCTCCCGCCGGGCCCGGCGCGTTACCTCGGCCTGCGGCCGGGCAGCGGTGGAACAGCATCGCAGCGGGCCCGGCACCGTCCGCTTCCCGCGACCGCCCCGCGCTCACCGCGCCAGCCTCGCCCCGCCGCGCCTGCGCGCCCGGCCACGGCCCCGCCCCGTGCGGGCAGCAGGACTACAGCTCCCAGGGCCGCCCGCCCATCCGCGGCCCGGGCGGTGCTCGGCGGAGCGGCCCTGGGCGGACCGTGGGCGGCGCTCAGTGGGAGGAGCTCCCGGCGCGGGAGAGCCGAGCGGGACATGGCCGAGGCGGGGCCGCTGCCGCCCGCCGCGGTGCCCGAGGGATCGCCCGGCGCCCAGCCCCGGAGGGTCCGCAGCGGGAGCGAGGGGTCGGGGTCGCCGGAGCTGCCCGGCGGCGACACGCGGGAGCTGCTGGAGGAGGTGGAGATGCAGATCGGCGACGTGAGTGCGGCGCGCTGCCCGCGGGCGGGCTCCGGGGCCCCCTCGGGGACGCTGCCGGGCGCCGGTGACCCCCAACCTCTCTGCCGTCCCTCCAGGCCGCCTTCTCGCTGGCGAAGATCCTGGAGGCGACGTCGGCCGTGTCGGCCCAGGTGGAGGAGCTGGCCACCAAGTGCTCGGAGAACGCCCGGTTCCTCAGGACGTGGCGGGACCTGCTGAGGGAGGGCTACGAGTCGCTGAAGCCCAGCGGCTGAGGCCGGCCCTGCCCGCCGAGCCGCCCGCCCGGCCCGCGCTGCGGCGGGGCTCTCTTCGACCGCCGCCTTCAGGGACCTCACGTGGAGCTTTGTTTTCCCCCAGAGTTCTTACACAAATACTTGGGGGCTCTCGTATGGATGTTTTATCTTAGCCTACCGAATAAAAAAACTTTGTTTAGGGAATCAATTTTGACTTTTAGATTCTTCGTTGAAGCTCAAGCTATCACATACTCTCTTTTTTTTTTTCTCTCTCTTTCGTGCTAATGTGGTAGATACAAAGTTAGTATGTGTGCTACGTTCAGAACTCCTTACTAGTAGGGAAGTGGCGTCCTATGATAAAAAATTGTCAGCCCTCCTTTTTAAGAGCTGTCACCAGCAGAAACCCTGCCAACCCCAGAGAAACTTCAACTAACTTCAGTTTTTTGTTACACCCTCTTTTTTTTCATGTGAAGTATGGGATAATGAGACAAGTTGTGGCTTATTTATAAGCTGTAGAAAAACCCTATACCCCAAACCTTACTATTTTTAGCAGTATTGCAATGTATGTCTATAAAGCTGCTGATTATTTTTTGCAAGATGTTTTATTACTGCAAACAATTTTACCCAACCTTTTGTTGTAATAAAGTGCCTTATGATGAACCCTATATCTCTGTAGGGTAGACATTTAGCAGCATTGTTTACTGATAGGATGGATTATTTTGAACTGTAAATAAAAGCTTCTATTGGTTAGAATAGAATCTGTGACATGTATTCTCCCATCCCTGGGGAAGCACCTCAGAGCTTTTTCAGTATTTGGTTTTTTATCTTTGCCTTAAGCAGTGACTAGTTTGATAGTGTAGAGCTTACTGTTAATAGAACCTTTTGGTCTGAAGGATGGCTGATCTGTAATAAATAGCTGTCCTCACACTCCTGTACCTTAACCAGGCACTGTGGAAAAAAGTAATGCTGAGGTGCAAGGGCAGGCTGCAGGAGAATGTGACTCTGCCATGACTTATTAGCAGGCCTTATTTTTACTTATAGGACTTTGAGAAAGACCCATTGTAGCTTGCTTATCCAAACAATAAAGAAGTCGCAAAAACTATCAAGTATTGACTGTTACTGTGATACTGATAGAAACAAAGGTGACAGTGAATATAACCATAATCATGTGTACTGGAAAACGGATAGTGGCAAGGTCAGGGATCCTTGCACATTTCACCAAAGGCGGTTGCAGCCCTTGGCCCATGAGTAAGGAACTTCTATTGAATTGAGTTCTAACTGTCCTAGTTAAAGACAATCCATGTGGCAGGATTTTGCTCAGGTGTTTTTAACCCCAACAAGCCGAAATGTTGCTGAACAGCTTGGAAAAGAAGTTTTGTTTAGCAGATAATATTTTATTTCAGTAGAACATACAGTAGTGGGAACAAGGTGCTTAACAATCTTCAGTTTCAAATCAAAAGATAATCCAAAGTTCTGTAAACAGTTGAAGTGTGAGCCACACTTTTTCAAAATTTTACTTCTTATACTGCTAAGAAGTTAAGTGCAAACATTGGAAGTATCTTTTAACTTAATTTTAAATAGTTTCAAATCAATACAAAAAAGAAGCTGTTTTTACCTTTTTGGGCTTCTAGGCCATCAGACTGAATACGGTACTGAAAGAAGAAGGGAAGTTGTAATAATTCATAATAGAAAACATTCTCTTCATTAAGAATGTGTGAAGGAACTGCCTCTAGGGGATTGATTCAGATGGGAAATTTTTTATTTTACCCTTGTAATTCTGGGAAGTAAAATAATGCTTCAAAAAGCGCTGAATGGCTGTGGTCTTTAAATTACTTTAACTATAATGCATCCAGTCATGTACAAAGTGATTAAAGTGTAGATGTCATGACACCTATTAAGACTGATAATTTTCTATTTGACCATCTCCCTTGTACATAGAGAGATATCTAAAGACTGGTATTTGTTGAAGTCTGCAAGCTGTGGTGAGCTACTTTTGGTAGCCTGTTAAGAAAAGTGAGGGAAAGAGCAGCAGCAAGGTGCTGGGATACTCAGTCCAGTCTTTCCAGAGTAAGAAGGGAGAAACTGCCACCAGTTAAAGCTGGGGGACACTCACTTGGGAAAAAAAAAAACCAACAACCAAACAAACCAAACCCCTTATTTTTATTTTTTTCTTCACCACAGTTCTAGTTCTGCCTGAATTAGAATCTTAAAGATCATCTAGTCCCAGCCTCTCCCTACCATGGGCAGGGACACCTTCCAGTAGACCAGGCTGACCAAGGCCTTGTCCAACCTGGCAACTGCATTAGAACTATCATTACCACTTCACTATTGCCTTTACATGAGTGAAATAGTCTGTAAATTTATAAAACAAATATAATTTTCACTTATTTGGCTTTGACAAATATAGTTAACTGACCTAATTATGAAATTTGAATGTTTTTCTTACAGCTATTGCTCCTTAAAGCTTTTAAGAGATGATGCAGCCTAAATAGAGCCAGTCAGAAACTTTGAGAAGAAAATACATTTCTTAATGAGGAAACCTTTAACTCTTAAAAAAATCACCTGTTGAAATGGGAACTTACAAGAAGAAAAAAAGAAAAAAGAAAACACAGACACACACACACACACACACACACTTCCCCATAAATAGATGATTTTCAAACAATCTGCTTTCAGGGTGAGATGTTTCAAATGACAATTCATGTTTTTTCCACACTCTTGGCTTCTGGAAGAAAAAATCCCCAAACATCTGATTTCTCATTCTGATCTAGGATGAATTGTCAAAATGTCAGGTGCTGCTGTGAGATGGTAAAATGCCAGTTCTACCTGCAAACAGACACATGGCTCCCTCTTCTTCCCGCAGTGGTTCAGGTGAGCCCTGGTGTCACACCTCCCTCATTTTCCTGTGGCTGTAAAGCAGCAAGCCCACGGATGTGACGCTAACAGTGCTGATGTCACTGTGAGGACTCAAGCCGTCATTACGTGTAGGAATTCATTCTTGTTGACTGTGTAGTCACTGAAGCATCAGAAGAGTCGTTACAAAGCACAGGCTTCATAACCTTTGGCGTGATTTCATGCATTGGCCACATCTCTACCCAAATGAATGATGGACCATACGGTTTCTGGCTGCCTTTACCTCTTTTGGATCTTCTCTGTCTGTAGTTGTACCAAACCTGGTGAATCATTTCTTTGAAAGGTCGTGTAGTCAAAGTGTAGAGAAGAGGATTCAAAGCACTATTTATTGGCAGTATAAAAATCACCACCCAAGAAGTTATGGTACCTTAGGGAGGGAAAAAGAGAGGCAGCTGTAATATGCACCCCAGTGTATATTTAGTTATATTTATATAAATATATTTATATATATTTATATGTTATGCTCAGCTCCTGGCACAACAGGTGCATTTCTTTTTCTTCTTTCTGTTACACTTGCACTGCTTCTTATCTCCCTCTGTTTTCAGTACTCCCTGCAAAAGCTGACATTTATTATTCTCCCAGCAGTTCCATTTATCCCTCTTTTCTATGCCACAGCTCCCTATTTGCCCTGACAGACGTCTTGTTCTGGCTAAGCACCTTTTTCTTGCCCCAAAACCTTCTGTCTCTGCTTTCCTCCTTATCTCTTCTTGTGATCTCAGTTCCTCATCCTCTTCCCAGGACTGATGACATGCAGCGCTAATCGTGCCCCTGATGTTCTGTCCTGCAAAACTATCTTCCATTCCCTGTATCCCTTCAGAGCCTAGTTTTCTCTTCTGCACCAGGACTTCTCTATTCCTCCCCCTGAAAAAGATACATCCTCCTAATTGCCTTTTCCTGATGGTAAGAGTTTCTGTGTTCACTGTCTGCCTATGTCAGTCTGTGCATCTTTACAACATCCCTTTCTCGTCCTTTACTGTTTGGGAGATAAGTTACCTGTGGGGCAGGTGGAGAAGGGACAGGATTAAAGTGCTGAAAGATGCCAGTGGGTGCCCTCCCTTGTGTTGTTTGACTTATAAAATTGTTACAGAACTGTTCCAGGAGGCATAAAAACCTTAATTGACTTTCTCCTTACAGGACACCCCTCCACGCCCCTCTCCACTTTTACAACTTTGTTGCAATATCAAGACATCCCTGTTGGCACCCATCTCATAGACTACAGTTTTGGAAACAAGCAGGTGCTTTGTTCTAAAACTATCACAATGTATCACCAACACAAAGCAAATGCTATCAAAGGAGGTTTACAATTTGTGTCAATTTGGACAGCTAGCTGTCATGTCTTTAGTTTCACGAATTGAGTAATTACTCTTTAATCTGGTTCATCTATCGCAGGACATTAATTTGCTGAACCCAAGATCACCCTGTGGTTCAGCAAGATTTCTTCAAGGTTTCTTGACTTATAATACACCTGCTTCTACTTTTCAAGATATTTTCTTTCAAATATCATAGGTGGTTTGATAGCTTCTTGAGGAACAATTTAAAAATATTTGAAATAACTAAATATTTAACATAATCAGCGTTACTTCCAGACAGTTGAGATGCAAGTCCAAACTTTGAAAATTTCAACTCCCAACCCTCCTGGTCAGCACATAAGGCAAAATCATCTGAGCTGAAGCATTTTCTTGCCAATGTAATATTGTGACATACATCTGTATACTGAGTCTGAATCCGCTGTTGCTGATTGTTCTGTTCATGCTCACATGTCCTTTCTAACAGGGTTAACAAGCCCCACACGAAGAGGCTTTTTTCTGGCATCTACTGGTATTGCAAAGAGAAGGAAAAAATTAAGGTGCAATTTTAGTCTTTTAAGTTACACTATTTTGACATGGGAGTATATTCACAGCATGAAGAAGATAAACAGATCTTTATGTGACTTAATCATTTGAACTATAAATACCAGCTTGTAAAATAAAGTAATTTCAGAATAAGTTAGGTTATTAAATCAAGATAGAAAATACTATATTGTCCTGAGACATTTAGGCAACAGAACCAGCAAAAGTCTTAAGATGAGAAAAGCCAATGCAACTCAGCCTTGATTTTAAAATATATTTTATACAATTTATAGATATTATATGCAGACACACTTTAATGATTTGAATTTTGGAGGTTTTTCTGTAACTCAAAGGTGACTAATCTTTCATTATTATAGTAATAGAGTTTAATCAAATAGCAAAACTATATAGTTCATGATATTGTGTGTACATATATATAGATATAGAACATTAAGTTGATTTCAGCAACATAGTTCATTTCATTAAATTATTTTTCTTCTGAAGTAGAAGGAACATTTCATGCA